TGGGTTTGAATCACCAACTTTGTGGTTAGCCATCAGTCCTGATCCTGTAGCGCCACCCCAGGAGCCCTAGAGGAGTGCATTGTTGCTTTTGGTAAATGCAGTCAAGTCAGTTCTGACTCATAGTGACCTTCTATAGGATTTCTGGGAAGTGCCTGGTGGGCTTGAACCACTGACCTTTGGTTAGCAGTCTGACTAAGCACCATTTACCCAGTAAATAGGAAAGGTTTAAAAAAAAAACAAAAAGGAAGGAGCCCTGGTGGTGCTGTAGGATAAGCACTAGACTGCTAACTGCAGGGTCAGTGGTTCAAACCTGCGAGCTGCTCCACAGGAGAAAGATGAGGCTGTCTGCCCATACAGATTAACAGTCTCAGAAAACCTATATAGGGTCACTGTGAAGCAGAATCTACTCCATGACAGTGCAACCATACAAAGGAAAGTTTCCAGGTTGTTGTCCTCCAAATAATTTCCAAGGAAATTATATGAAGACCATAAACATCATGAAGTCAGCTTGCAGAAGCATTCAGAGCCAGAAATGCATCATGATCAACTGCAAAAAAGGAATAAACTAGTTAAAGTACTAAAATTTAATGAGAAGTAGGTGAAATTGAAAATACGGTGCATGTAATATTATTGTAGATTTCAAGTCATGCATATTCTTTTCCATAAAACTTCTCAGAAGCAATTAAAAACACGCATGCACAAAACCAAGCAATTATAAGTCTTCTGAAGCATGTAACTGCGATTAGCTGCTACTCTCAGCAATATAAAAATACTTTCACCACAATTACATTCCAGCCTGTAATGTAATTCAAAACAAACAAGTCAGAGACATCGCTCAAATAGCAGAACCAACAAATACAGATGCTTTGCATCAAGGAAAAGACTCCACTAAAGCAATGCACATGAGCTCGGGCCTGGAGCGGGCTTTCTAGTGGAGCAGCAGCGCCCTCTCCTGGGCAGAGATGCACCCTGCGCCCCCGCGCTCATCTGAAAAACTGCATTTTTCATCAGAGCCAATCTTCCCCTCAGTCCCAGAGCATGAAAGTCAGGACTCCCTACAGCCGACGCCCCTTCTAGTGCCGTGGTCACGTTCTTAAAATTTTATAATTCTCTGGATTTTTAACAAAAACAAACAACAGAATTCAATTTCAGATTAAATAGACCATTCTATTTAACAATTCTACAGAACATTACCACCACCAGTTGGAATTGCCAGTCCCTTTACCCTGTAATTCTTTTTCTTTTTACATTTATTCTTACATCCTCCCACATACTATACAACTTACAATATTCACTGTCCGTGGCTGGAAGCGACAACGGAAGTCCCACGAGGGAAGGAGATTTATCCCCTGGCCCCAGGATTGTGCTCAAAAAACAAATAAATCATTCCATTTAGGATTCAATATTTTATTTTTTAAATGATTCATCTTCAAAGAAGGCATAAGTAAAAAAGGTCTTATTACAACAATAACAAAGGTCTTATTACAACAATAGCCCTTAAAAATGGGTGTAAACGGATGATTTTCTTGAAATGCTTTATGAAAGCAAAAATCTCTTCTAAGGGCCATATGTAAATGCGAGAATGCTTCAACAAGTTCCTGAAAATATGGAATCGAAAGACAATGGAATTTTTCTACAAACATTCATAAACCATTCAGAATCCGGCTGCCCTGGTCACGTGGCCAGCCGTGTGGCATCCCCCAGTCCCATCACGCATCCCGCCACGCACCACGCACAACGGTTTGGCAGGAAGGGCATGCAGGACTTGCTAATTTCTGAAACCTCAAATATTCTTTCCCCACCCCCACCCCTTAAAATGCTCTTTGAGCCGCGTGGGAAAGTTAATAGCAGTTTCCAATAGTTGGATGTTGGGCTAATTTGTTCCCTTCACAGAGCCAATGAGGAGAGACCGGTGTCCCACCGATTAACGACAATCTGTCAACATGTGATTCAGTGTCGGTAGCAGCATTCAGTCCTAGAACTTCACCACCCAGGCCACTTTGGGGCAGCTGCCTTGCATGGAAAAAGTTCACGATTTCTGGCATTCTTTTTTTCGAACTTTCGATTTTGGAGCTGTGGAGAGAAAGGGAGAGAATGAAGAGAGGGCCCATACCAGACTCTTGTCCACTGGTGTTTGAAGAGATACATTATACACCGTAGGAAAGAACTCACCATTTGGATTTTCTTGTTTGTAGAAGATCTTCAACATTTCCACCGCTTCCTCAGCCCGATACCCAGGGATGCACTGAGGAAACAAACAGGTGAGAACACAGGCCTAAAAAACATGTGTCCCATTCCACAAAACCAGCAACACAGACACAAGAACTGTGTTAACAGACTTCAGATAATGTTCATACACTTTGGGGATCTCAGTAACAAGGATGTTGTTGTTGTGAAGTGCTGTCGAGTCGGTTCCGACCTATAGCAACCCTGTGTAGGGTTTCCGAGGAGCAGCTGGTGAGCTTGAACTGCCAACCTTGCAGTTCAAACGGCTTTGCAGTCTGGCGCATGAACCCACAGTGTCACTCCAGGATAAGGAGGTACATTTCTAAAAGAATAGGTATACTATACCTCAATCAGCTATCACTCTCAATCAACTAAATATTAATTAGTAGAGTTACCATGTGGTTTTAGGTAAGGTGCTCAAACTCTGCCTGAGTTTCCTTGTGTGCACCATAAATAATCAGAGCAGGTACTTCTAAGGGATTTTATGAGGGGTCAGTCAGATACCAACACCAACCCAAATCCACTGCTGTTGAGTTCATTCTTAGTCAGCGTGACCCTATAGGATACAGTACAACTGTCCCATTGAGTTTCTGTAATCAATCTCATGGTCAGCAGTTCAAACCTACCAGCTTTTTCTCAGGAGAAAGATGAGGCTTTCTGCTCCCTTAAAGATTTACAATGTCAGAAACCCTGTACAGGGTCGCTATGAGTCGGAACCAACTCCACAGCACATAACAACATCAACAATCTTTACGAAATGCAGACTGTCACATTTTTCTCCCACAGAGCAGCTGTAGAGTTCAAACCAACCTTTCAGTTAGCAGCTGAACACTTAACCATTGCATGAACAGCGTCCTCAAATAAAAAAAGACTTGTAAAATAGTAGGCACACGCTAAGTGCTCATTAAACATTGTTATTGTTGTTAAATGCCCTCAAGTCCGTTCCTACTCATAGTGAGTCTGCATAGGGTTTCTCAGGATCAGCTGGTAGGTCTAAACTGCCTCCTGTAGTTCACAGTCTAGTGCTGAACCTACAGTAAGCACCACACTGTTGTTGTTGTTGGTGGTGTACCATGGAGTCGGTTCCAACTCAGTGACCCTATATAAGGTTTCTTAGGTGATAAATCTTTACAGGAACAGAAAAGAAAAGCCTCATCTTTCTCCAGTGGAACAGTGGTAGTTTCAAACTGCTAACCTTGGGGTTAAAAGCCTGACTCGTAACCATTACGCTACCACAGTTCCTTACAGCACCACACTGTTGTTAAGTTGTTAAGTGCCGTCAAGTCGATTCCGACCCATAGCGACCCTGTATAGGGTTTCCAAGGAGCAGCTGGTGCGCTTGAACCGCCGACCTTGCAGTTCAAATGGCTTTACAGTCTGACGCATTAACCCACAACACCATACCAGGACTCCACACTATAGCACCACACTAGCTACTTCTATTTGCTATTATTGAGAGGTTGGTTAGCCATTCATTCAGTGGTCCGTGCTATAGAGCCAAGATTGGCAAACTGCAGCTGGTAGGATAAACCCAGTCCCCAGCTAAGAATGATGAGTTAAGAATGATTGATCTATATCTCTTTAAAGAGTTGTTAAAAACATACAACACAAATACAGAACACACAAGGGCAACTGTAAGTGGCCCACAAAGGCTAACACATTTGCTATCTGGTTCTTTATAGAAACAATTTATCTGGCTCCTCCTAGAGGAAAACATTTAAAATAAAATTTAAGTGTTCAACTTGGTCTATCCTTGGGACTAACTGGAGAGAAGAAATCAATAAATGTGAAAGAAGAAATAAGAAATTATGACATTATATAAAATAATCTGGAGGTGAAACGAATTTGCCTTAAATCTAGGTAAGAACCAAGAGCTGAAGAGAGCATCTCAGACAAAGAGGAAACAGAAACATGGGTTGTATGTGAGAACACCAGCTGATTGGGGGTTGGGTGATTACCAAGGGAGTGTAAAGGAAGTCCTGGTGTGGTGCTGTGGGGTAAGCACTGGACTGCTAACCACAAAGTCAGTGGTTCAAACCCACCAGCTTCTCAGAAACTCTATCCAGGGTTGCTATAGTCGGAGCCGACTTGATGTGTGGCGCTGCGGGTTAATGCGCTGGACTGCAAAGTCAATTTGAACCACAAGGTCAGCAGTTCAAGTTCACCAGCTGCTCGTCAGAAATCCTATACAGGGTCGCTATGAGTCGGAACCAACTCCATGGCACTTAACAACAACAATTAAAAAAAGAGAAATTAAAGAGCTAAAATGATGTCAAAATATTTGGGGCCTTGAGGGCTAGTCAGAAGAGTCTGGATGTCTGTCAGGTGAACGAATGGCAGACTGTGTGGAGAGTCTAGGAAGGCTGAAAGGGGGAGCTCGGAGTGGCAGCTCAGCAAGCCTGCATCAGCCGTCTTCATCCGAACAAGTAACTTTCCTGCCATCCTAAATCCCAGGTAAGCAGCTCCCCTGGTCCTCCCTGAGGAGGAACACCCCAGACTCACTTCGGTGGCTCTCATTTCCTCACTGGCTTGTGCTCCCAGGACTCCATGAAAGCTGATATCCCAACAGGTCCCAATTTACCAGAACATTGGTCTCTTTTCCATCAGACTCAGTTGTAGTGACTATTGGCCACACTTGCTTCCTTTTAGAATGCTCTGCTCTCGCCTTCCTTGGCTTTTAGAGTACCTCACGGTATGACCATCATCCCTCAGTCCTGTCTGCTGGCTCCTCTTCCTGGTGCAGTAAGTGGATCCTACTCTCTCTCCAGAGGCAAGCACAAAGAACTATCCTCTCAAATGGAATTAGAGCAGTGGTTCTCAACTTGGCAGCCTGCTGGAATTGCTCCGGGCTCACTCCTCACGTTTGAATTTGGTGGGTCTGAGGTGGGGCCCTACATGGGCATGCTTCAGAGCTCTGCAGATAATGCTCATGTGTACTCAGGGGTGAGAGGTTCAGAAGGACACCGTCTGTCTGTCATCTCTCACATTCCATGGTCATATTTTCAAGTATCCATATAGCTCAAATTTGAGGCTTTCATAAAAGATACATATATTTCTTAAAATGACCAATAAAAAACAGGTAACCAACTTCTTTGAGAAGAACCATTCTAAAGTCTACTCTATGGGACTTAATGTAGCTTATAATATATTTTTTTTAAATCCATTACTATCGATTCAATTTCAACTGATTGAGACATACCCTCACAGGACATGGTGACCCTCATGAGTTCCAACTCATAGGACAGAGTAGAACTGACTGATGAGTTCGACTCTTTATTGAAACAGACTGCCACCTATTTCTCTCACAAAGTAGCTGGTGGGTTCAAACCATCAACCTTTCGATGAGCAGCTGATCATGTAATGACAAAGTTCCTGCTTATAATACAGCATTTTTTTAAAGTCTATACTTCTGCAATAAGAAAACAGAATTCCTTTCCCTATTCCCATCCAGCCAAATAAGAAGACATAATATCCAGAAGTCTAGAGTACCACGTTTGCCCGTACTATCTCAGAACACCTCAAAAAATATCATTTGGCATTAAAACTAAAGACCTGGTTTCAACCCCTGGCCGTCAGTTTTTGATTGTTCAGCCAATCTGGTTGGTAGGCATTGCAAGTGGCGTTTCTTTTGGGTATGGGCAGGACAGCTCTGTGCAGAGACAGGTCAGAGATGGATGTGTCCATGTACTCACATCACCACTGTGTCTCTGGGACATGTTCCCCTCTTCTCTGACTTCCACATTCTGCCCAGCAGCCTTGAGGAATATTTAGAGCTTTCTCATAAAGAAGCATATGACCAGGCATTCCCTTGCAAAGACGCACATAAGCAAAACTGGAGCCAGTCACAGGAGCAACTGGAAAAACCAAATCAGCCTTATAGATGTTTTCAATAACCAAGCTAACTGCACCACTTACTCGCTCCTCCCATCAATCTCTTCTCTGCCACGTTCAAGGTCATTTATTCGCAAATGCACCCAAGTATTAGGAAAGCTCGTATCCAGCTGGGAAAACTCAAGATAGAAGATTTCATAAAACTTGCTCTCAGTGGGATTCTGCCAAATTTAGCCCTTCCAGGTCCTCAGCGTCTTCTGCTAAGACCTGAGGTCTTTGAAGCAACATGCCCAGCATTTGCTAATTTTTTTTGCTTTTTAAAAGCATAATGTTTTTAGGACTAATCTTACATTTTGGAGAGAAAAAAATCAAGCCCGTTTATTTTTTAAATGGACTGGGTCCACAGAACAACCTCTGAAGGAAATTCAGCCAGACGAATAAGAAACAGATATTTCTAATGTTCATAGCCTTCACAATAAAAATGTTGGGAGAAGAAGCAAGATTAAAAAGCAAAGTAGAATGTCTAAGAGAAGGCTAAAGAAATGTGGATTCTTGGATCTGGAGAAAATTTCAAGATTAAAAAATCTGGGAAAAATATAGTGATTAATTACTAAACTAGTAAACAAGTCGACCCCAACTCCTAATGATCCCAAATGTATCAGAGTAGAACTGCATGCGCACCACAGGGCTTGCGAAGGTTGATGTTTCAGAAGGAGACCACTAGGTCTTTCTTCCAGTGCCTCTGGGATTCAAACCTCTGACCTTTCGTTTAGCAGCCAAGCATGTTATACCACCCAGGGACTCCTGATTGATTGCTAGACACCACAAATCGTATGTGGCAATCAAGCACAAAGCTTTAATCTGTGCAGAAAGAGTGTTCACTGTAAAGTGTCTCTTTAGTCATTGACAGAGGTCACAATTCAGGTGAAATCGGTATAGTGTGGAGCTGGTGTTATGATTGAACTGTGTCCCCCAAACATGTGTCAGCTTGGCTGGGCCATGATTCTCATTATGATGTAATTATCCTCCATTTGGGGATATGATCACCCTATGTGTTCTAAATCTTACCCTCTATTATGAAGGAACTCTGGTAGCGTAGTGGTTACGAATCAGGCTGTGAACTGCAAGGTCAGCAGTTCAAAACTACCAGCTGTTCTACGGGAGAAAGATGAGGCTTTCTGCTCCTGTAAAGATTTTCAGCCTCGGAAACCTTGTACAGGGTCGCTATGGGTCAGAATCGACTCCACGGCACATAACAACAACAATTATGTTAGTGCAGGCCCGGCGTAGCGCTGTGGGTTCATGCACTGCACTGCAAAGTTAATTTGAACCACAAGGTCAGCAGTTCAAGCTCACCAGCTGCTCCTCGGAAACCCTATACAGGTTTGCTATGGGTCAGAATCGACTCAACATGATGTTAGTGAAGGAGCTGTAGTAGCATAGCAGTTACTGGTAGCATAGTGGTTATGCGTCAGGCTGCTAACCTCAGGGTCAGCAGTTCAAAACTGCCAGCTGTTCTGTGGGAGAAAGACGAGGCTTTCTGCTCCCATAAAGACTTACAGCCTCAGAAACCCTATACAGGATTGCTATGAGTCTGACCCGACTCTACAGCACATCACTACCCATCCATGATGTAAGTGAGGCAGGATTAGGGGCTGTATAGTTAATGAGGCAGAATACGATCTACAGAATTAGGTTGTATCTGGAATCAATCTCTTCTGAATATAACAAGCAGACACTGGAGGAACCTCAGTACCAGCCAGAAAGAAGAGCTGGAAATGGAGCACATCCCTTGGACCAGGGGCCTGTGCTTTAAAACTGTCAGACCCAAAGATTGATGATGAGGACCTTCCCCAGAGCAGACAGAGAGAAAGCCTTTCCCTGGAGCTGGCTGGCACCCTGGCATCAGCTCCTAGCCTCCTAAACAGAGAGATTAAAAAGCTCCTGTGTGGGAAAGCCATTCACTTGTATTTGTTATACAGGCACGAGATGAATCCCAGCAGCTGGTAACACTCATTGAATGAAAACATCAATAGTGCTGTATCTTTGCGCATTAAGGTACCGGTGAAAATGTTCAGGGGGTACTTGGGAAGGCAGGTAACTCCTGCAGGATAGCTTCTGTTAATTAAGAAACCTCAGCACTCATCTAGAAACTATCAACTGTAGTCTTTTTTCAGTTTCATTGTTGAAAAGTATACTCCACAAAATATACACCAATTGAACACTTTCTACAGGTTTATTTAGTGGTATCATCAAGCTATGTGACGATTCTCCCTTCCTTTGCCAAACTCTTCCTCACCTGTTGACATAAACTCACTGTCCCTACACTTCAAGTTGTCATTGTCCAGTTCATCCCATGCCATTCGTTCTTTAAAAGAGACAATGCTCAGACATTAATTACTAATTAAGCTAAATTGTTGTACAGTTAGAAGACTTTAGTATATTTTTGGTCTAAGGTTGAAAGGGGATCTCAGAACTAACAGTTTCAGGGGTTCAAGAGTCTTCAAAGGCTGCAGAAATTCTGGATTTCATGAGAATTGAGTGTTCCACATGTCCCCCACCTTTTCATCAGTATTTGTTTTCAGAATCTTTGATCAAAGCATTCGGTAATTATTACCTGTAGTTTTACACTAAAACTTAAATGACCTTGGCCAGAGGTCCTAGGATTCTGTTCAGTCCTGCCATGGTTACTTGGTACCTACTGACCACACACTACTTATAAGACCATTTAAAAAATCATTAGAAAGAAAGACAAAGCATCAGCAGTTCACCCTTACCTGAAATGGCTCCCCTGTATGTGGCAGATCAGCAGAGGCAACATTCAGAACTGAGCCGCATCCACCAAACCGCTCATTCCGACAGCCGTATACAACCAGTGGGATTTCTAAGGAAGAATTAAGGACCTGGGCAGTTTATGTATTTATCAAGGTAAGAACATGGGAGGTTTATTCCAGCCATCCTGAAAAGGAAAGCTCATGCCTACTCTGGAAAATAATTCAGCTTTGCCTTCCTCTTAAAGGTCATATCCAGTTCCACAGAAGAGAATGGTTTAAAGTGTTTAGAGATAAACATCTCTAAAAAAATTCACCAGCAGGTGAACATGTAGTTGTGAAATGCTCACAGTTCAGTGTGCTCAGAATCATTTTCTCAGAGTCATCAGAGGACTAGAACTACAAAGGAGGCAGAAATTGAACCCAGGGATTTTTCAAAATAACAAAGTACCCTCTGTTCTTTTCCCCAATAAAACATAACCTGTTCCCCTCCTCCCCTCAAATCATAGACTAAAGCTGAACCACTCTGTGAGCCACGATGGCAAGGGGGAACTTCAACAATGACCCTCAAGCCCTGCTCCTGGCCCCCAGCATCTCTAAGACAGATAGAAAATTCACAAATCTCTGATCTCCCCATCATACGAAGAAGTTGGTGTTCTTAAGTGCCATCGAGTCGGTTCTGACTCATAACAACCCTATATAGGGTTTCTGAGGAGCAGCTGGAGGGTTTGAACTATTGGCTTGGAGTTATCAGTCTAGTGCTTATCTTACAGCACCACACCAGGAGTTCAAATGAGAACTGTTGTTGTTGTTAAGTGTCATTGGGTCAGTTCCGACCCATAGCGACCCTGTGATGTGATGTGCCAAGCCAGGATCCAGACTCCTGCTGTTCCATCTCCCACACTTTACTGTCCAGATATGGAGATAGCGAATCATGAAGAAAACAGTTCACGATAAAAGCACATCAGTGTCTAAGGCTTGGCTTTGCCTGTGCGTAGTATTTGAGGGAAACGGATGACTCATTTTACACCCTAGGTGGTAAACCAATTTGAAGGTTATTCTATTTTCAATTCACTTCAGTCTAGTGGGTAAACTGACAGTTATCTCCCTAGAAGACTCCCAGCTGTGGTGGCTTGTTTGCTGGCTTCCCCTTAACCTTGTCCAGCCTCTTTACAATGCCTTGATGCACACAGCTAGCCCTCAGAAGAAAACAATGGGCCATGTTCTCTAGTCCAAGTAGGATGTTCTCTATGACTCAGTTTCCTCATCTGTAAAATGAGAATTATAATACTTCACAATATAACTATGAAATTTAATGTGCTAATACAGATAAAAATGCTTCAAATGTATGCAAGCAGAGAGAATAAATGCAACAAATATTGGCATTTAAAAATTGTATTTAGCTTAATACTGATAAACTAAGTACTACTTAAATGCATAATTGCCTTTGGAATTAGAATAACATGTGATGAGAGATAAATCTCATATAGTCTTCAAAAGTCCACAAGCTAGCAGGAAAAGAAGAATGAAGACAGCTGATATCAGACACAGTACTGTCTGACTAGCAAACAGGACTTGAATGCAGAGTTCATGGGCCATGTATTCAATCAGGAAAACAAACAGCAAGTTTACCCATTTATTCAGCAACCAAGCAGTGCACCCCAACTTACAAGTAAGTATGGTTCATGTTTAAAAAAAGAAGAACTGGTTTTGGTTCTAAATTTCCCAATAATAGGCTGTGGCACTGTGGGGCTAATGCGTCAGACTGTAAAGTCATTTGAACTGCAAGGTTGGTGGTTCAAGCTCACCAGCTACTCCTTGGAAATCCTATACAGGGTCGCTATGGATCGGAATCTACTTGACAGCACTTAACAACAACAACAACAGTCACTGGTAAAGATATTTCAATTCTCAAGGTTCAAGTTGTTTTTCTATTAAGTAGAAGTTTGATCTTTTAGGATTCATCCCTACATCTAAAGTGAGTGAATTTAGGATTCTAGTTTACTATAATTCCCCATTTATAAATCTCTAATATTCTTGCAGTAAAAAAAGTATTCATAGGCATACAGCAAAACAATAACTTGAAAGATAGGCAACTATGAAACTGAGTTTCTGAATTTTCAAATAACTTTTTTCAAAAGATCTTTAGTAGCTAACCTGTTCCCCTCAGTATTTGTGTTGCTTACTCTACGCAAAACTGTGGTACGTTGAACTTACTTGACATTGCTTTTATGTCTAATGTCTTCTTAATGTCAAACAAGGAGTGGGTGGTGGTGGTGGTGGTGGTTATGTGCCATGGAGTCGATTCCAACTCATAGCGACCCTGTACAGGGTTTCCAAGGCTGTAAATCTTTATGGGAGCAGAACGCCTCATCTTTCTCCCAAGGAGTGGGTTGTTGTTGTTGTCAGGTGCCATCGAGTCGGAACCG